GAAATTGACACTGTAATGGCAGTTTTGACATTCCAAATAAAGTGACTCATCCAGCCCAGATCTCCTTCGATCCACTTGAAAAAGTTTCAAACAGCCATTTGAAGATTTACACATTTTGCAGACGGCTATCTTTTCCAGAGCCACATCCAACAACTTTGAATTAATAATCTTGTTGCCAAATGCCTCTGTGCTTGGATGTGAAACAGTGCTTGTCAAACCAAGATTAAAAGTCTTCTGTCGTGTAAGGACTTGTTCCCTTTCTGACTTCAAAATGGGACAGTTTTCGGAAATTTTCTCAAATGACCTATTGAGTTTATCTGGCGTAGAGCTTCCACCTGGCCTAGAGTCATTCTCATTAGGCCTTTCTTCGTTATCGTCATCGTTCTTGATATCCTGTCTTCTAAGGCCAACAGACTTTCTCTTCCTGGCGTACTTACTTCTCGACTTATTCCCTGGCATTCCAAAAACAAGTTTTAATAATATTCAAGTACCAAAAAATCTTCTATTTCCTTCCTACAAAGTATGTGAGCGAAAGAAATGACCTTGTCAAAGTAAATCTTGTCATTTTGCTGCGGTAGTTCTTGATGTAGAAGACACACAATTCATTCAATTCAATGAAGTAGGAAAATAGTTGGCACGGCACGAAATGTAACAAGTTTTAGAGGGGAAAGTCCCAAAACGGCCCCTTAGCAACACAATTTTTGCGTTGCTAAGGGTAGTAAGCATTTTGCAACGCCAATTGTTGCAACTTTTTGAGCCAAATTCCAACCAAATCAAGGTGATTCTATCGCTACAGATATTAAACTCTCAAGAAAACACAAAAAAATAAATTTGAAAAAATTTTCATTCTTTCTCAAAATCTGCCATACGTCCACCTTAACTTGCCACAAGCTGACTGAAAAGCGTAAGAGGTTTTAAGCTGCAAGTACGCTCCTTTAAAATCTAACTGGATAACAAGACCGAGGGCGTGTGGTTAAATATCACTTAATACTTATGCACAATTACAGTGGCAAAGACACGGAGGCCAGTTCCTGATTCTACATAAATCAATGTGTGCAAGTTGTACTCTAAATAGAAAAGTAAAGCGGATGTGGCCACAGAACAGCTGGATTAATTTTTTGAGCGTCATGGGTCTTCGCTTTTGACTCGAACGCTGGTATGATGGTTAAGGACAAGAGACAAAGCCTTGGGCTGTATGATGTTTAATCAGTTGATTTTATGATAAAATGATCTGTTATTTTCTGCTTCGGTGGATAAAATATTGACTTAATCATTGCATTCCAAAGAACAAAAATCCAATTTAAACAGTCATCATGCTCCACTTGGGCCTACTTGGCTAAGTAGCAAGGCAAAACACATGTCACAGAACATGTGACGAAATTTATAATAAAAGGAAAACTGAAATGCTACAGATCTGTATGATAGATAATAAATTGTAAAGAATGATGTTAGATCCAAATCAGTGCAGCATCTTTTCGAACATAATGAGAACTTGCTGTCTTATTCATTTGATTTTTAATTGTTTCCAGAGAGGAATCTTAACTGTCTGAATCAGATGGAATTTTATTGATCAATGAATGATTTGTATTTTGAAATCAGGAAATTTACAGGAAAATGGTGGAGGGTTTTACCACAATTACTGTTCCTTTTTCCTTGTCAGGAAACACTATTCAGAATTCCCAGAAATGACATCTGAAGGCTTATCACATGCTTCAATGATTCATGTGGGAAGAACAACATATGAAGTGAAAAACTGTTGCTTTTTTTGAGAGAAATGAGCAATGAAACTCAGAAATTCCCAAACCTTAACAAAGGTATTCTGATAAAAAACCTTTTTTTGGACAATTTAAACTTGTGGTATAAGAGATATATTGTCCTTTTCTATTTATAAAATAGTGCAAACAGCCATGAACTTGTGTACACAGCTTATGTACTTTGTAGATGTACACACAACAGAACAATTGTTTGCAGTGCATGGCTGATATCCATTTTCCATAAACAGAGCTTCCTTCCATCCAAACTGATAAATACAATTTGACTTAAACACAACAGAAAGTTATGGAACATTGCTTAACAGAATTGCCTTCCATGTTGCTAGTTAGTCCAACATATATTTATAAACAAAAACATATCATATACAAATATATACAGAATATCATGAATAGGTACATACTTATAAGTAAACATAACTGAACAGTTTCCTTTGGTTGGAATAAACCTGGTGATATCTAAAGTTAAAATGGCTCTTGCAAAGGCTTTCAGTAGCACAAAACAAATGATTACATTGAATTGTCTGAAAACTTTAGGATTGGCTTCAAAAGCCTATTGCTCATTTCATTGAGTCATTTGTTCAATGGAATGATCACAGTCTTTTGAAGCAGCAAACTTGAGTTGATTTGGACCAAGTGCAGTAACTACACTTGGGCAGTACCCTTGAGGAAAAATTCCCTCTTATCATCTTGGTCTATTGAAATATGTGAACAAATATATTTACTTTATGGTTACAAAGGCTCATAGAGCCAAAACAGAAGACAAAATGATTTGGTATAGATTTTCAGAGTTAGTTTCTAAATTCATCAGTTTTTTTTCACTAGTTATGGTGGACATGCTATAATGAGGGTTTCTAAGCTGAAACAAGAGTATCTATTTTTGCAAATAAATAAATGCAGTATATATGAATGTCCCTTTCTTGACTCTTTTACCACTGATACCTAAATGAGTTTTAAAAATTTGTACTCACTAAAATGTAATTATCATACAAATATAAGCCATATGATATTTAATATGTATGTTCTCTTTTGAGAATAGATAAAATATGTTTGTGAAATAAAGCTATGCTCAAATATTTTTGACTGTATAAATTAAGAAATAAATTAGGAAAATATAACAGTATTTAGATATCAGTCATGAGAAGTAACTAACTGAAGTAACTGTACTCATAAAGAAACTTTTAAACTCTTGGTCAGTAGAAGAAGGAAAATAATTACTTTTAGCTGACATAAAAATTGAACTGAATAAATGGCCAGCATGCTATTCTCTTGTGCTGAATTTCAATAACTTTACAATGAGAACATAATTTAAAACAGCTTTCAAAAAAGCAAACATTATCAGACATTAATAGAGCTTTTGGTCTGAAACATCCAAGAGCATCAGAATGTCAGAACATGGATTGAAAATGGAAATAAAAAAATACATTGTATTCTGATTGGCCTTTTTGACACACAATAGCGTATACATAGCCTATTTCACATTTTCAATCCTCATTTTTATGTTTTGTAACTTGTTGCATTTCAGACAAAGAGCTTTACTATGTCTAGACTGTTTGCTTTTATCAAAAGCATTTTTAAATGACTTGACACTCTCTGTACTGAATTTGCATTAAAATGTAGCTAAAAATATACTTAAATCTTCTTTGTCTCTTTATGGTTAATTCAGATTGAATTTTACAGGTTTTCCACAATCATAGCTGCACTATATAAATGACTCTTTTATCATAGTTGAAATGTTCAGAGTTCATAACTATAACTTTGCTTACATAAATACTACCAAATCACAGCAGCAGTTTACAATATATAGCAAACAACTGAATCTGAAGAAAGCTTCTTCCAATAAAAGTCATTACAAAATAAAAAAGGCAAGGGCTGTCTTGGGTACACCAAAAAAGGTATATATTTAAAATGATGGAAAATATATGTTTAAAACATATCTATTTAATACATTTACTGACAGTGTTTATAAATGACATAATTTAATGGCAACTCTAGAAGAGGGTTTTATAAAAATGTAAATATTTCTTAACTTAGTGGATTGCACTTTAGTTGACATGAAATCTAGATCAGATCAGTATAAAGAGACCATAACTATATAAGACTTTTCAGGCAATATTTACATTTTTATAAAACCCTCTCTTAGAGTCACCATTAAATTGCGCATTTATAAACACTGTGAAGTAATGAATTAAATAATTTGTTTCAAACATATAGTTTCTATCATTGTGAATACTTTTTTTGTGTACCCAACAATTCTAAAACATTTGTAGTCACCTAAAATATGATTAAAGTTTTATCTTCTGCATTATTTGTGCAAGGTGGCTTGAATGTTGTGGATGTGGTTGAAATGGTTTAGCAAGCACAAGATCTCATTGTGAACTTGTTTATCAAATAAAAAAATTTACACATTATTTCTTTATAATTCATTATTTACATATTTACACACATATCATTGCTAAATTTTCACTCTATCATAGACCTAATGACATACAATTTGTTTAAGCAAACCTGATAAATATTTATGCTGATTATAACAGACTAGCACAGATAACATCTCATTAAAAATTTATGTTTCAACTGCTCAATTGTTTTAGAAAGACATGCATTCATTGAGAAAAAAATAGAGTGCCTTTCAAGATTTTTCTCTGAAAATGACCGCTTTAGTTCCAAAATATTGAGTGTAGCGAAGTTACTTTCCCATTTAGCATTTACTGCAACAAAAACACGGATCAGTCTGTGCGTTTTTACCACTTTTCGTAATAGTTTGAAAATTAATAATTCGACAAATTCTGTATATATGCTTTATATTTGTATCGACACGTTAAGGCTCTCGTCATTTAAAAACACTAAGGAAAGATTTGCTTTTGAAACTGAACAAGGCTCTCGATTTGTTCCGCTTGATCGATTCCCGGTTTGAAAAACAATTTCGGACAATGAGCCAACTTCTTTCATAAATACGCGATTTCGTTGTAAACTGGCAAAAACTGCCATCTTAAACGAGAGAAACCCAACCCTGTTAACTTATTTAATTGTTAGGCAACGACTGAATGAAAGTCGAGCTTCTAAATCTCCAACACTGTAAACAATGGTTTCGTGTTGAGGAGTTTCTCAATGAAAGGCCCCTCAGTGGTCAGGTTTATATCCATTGAGAACTGCGTAAATCAGAATAAATAATCAAGCTATTTACGTTGACATTCGGCTAAAACTGCTTTTTACAAATCATCAACATACCTCGACATGAGCAGTCTTTATCCGCATTCTCTTTTCTCTTCTCGAAAGATGCCGAGATGCTAGTTGGCTGTAAAGCTTTAGTTTCATCCTTTCTCACATTTAGCCATCTCTCCTGAAAAAATCACCGTCCATTTTCATCGCCGGATTTGATTAGGAGTTGAAGTGAAATTTGAGCCTCACAATTTAACAATTTGATTATCAGATATTTCTGGGAAAAATCAAGCGATAATTGTGAATGATCAAATGAAATTGAAAACTTATCAGATAAATTCGTCATGAGATGAAACATAAGGTATATTTGGTTGGAAAACGAGCAAAATGATTCACGAAAATCTTGGGACAAGTACAGAATGTGAGCGGTACCTGGCTGTCAAATGGCTCACGTGCAGCAAGTGACAGTTTGGAAGTCACTGCTTTATAAATACAACAAGCTCTAGAGCACGAAAATTCCAAGATTGCTGTACATCTAGAAACATTATAAAAACCAGTCGAGACAAACTTCGACTCAAAATTGGTGTGGTACTCGCTTGAGAATTCCATTGATCAGGAGTGCAGTGGACACGTCAGACAAGTATCGGATCGCACAGAGAAACCCAAAATGTGTGATTAAATAACAAACTCAAATTTCGTTGAATTCCAGTTGTTCCCTGCACTTACCGATTTTGGCGCTACTGTCGTCTCTTTCCTGTTATCAAAACTTCTATCAGATTTGATTCTGTTAAGTGTTGTAGATATTTTAATATGGCTGTTTTCCCCCTTGCTAGGCCCATCACCCGTCCGAGGTGTAGAATTTGGTTCGCCTCGACTCCTGAATCCGGAATGAGCCGGTGCATTTGTATTTATACCGTTCCTATAAACATCAGTATTTGAATTGCACTGCTGCTTCAACTCGTACAGAAAGTAAAACGTTCCACCAAACAACCCGATGAAAATAACATTCAGTACTACAAGGGCTGTAACAATCATACGCAAAGATAAGCACGCACAGCTTGCAGTTGTGGATATATTTGAGTCACCACGTAAAAGAGTCGACGAGCGTTGATTTGTCTGTTCCATTTTCAACTAGGTAAATAGATCCATCTAAAAAATTGTGAGCGAAACAGCTCCAAAGATGGCTGCTCCTTTGATCACTCGATCTCACCTGGCATGATCCTGCGACGATATGATCGCCCGTCTCATCAAATTTTATCTGCCACCGCAACGCGCCAAATTTAATCGAAAAATACAATGGAAGTTGCTGAAACAATCAGTTCACCCCCGGCATCAACCGAGCAAGATACACCCCCGGAAATGATTGAACACGTGCACAGTCAGCTATTAATCAGATCCTAGCTAATCAAAACCAATCATATTTCTCTAAAGATTTTGAAACAAAAAAACCATTGTCTATTTTCAGGGTTTCGATCACAGTAAGTGCCCTTTGCGGTTGCATTTCATTGTGCTTTCAAGGTGTATTTTGATAATAGCTGTACGCACAGCAATCTGAAACGAAAGCAAACAAGCAGTATCAGATGAGTAGAAAGCGAAAAAGGAACAATCTTTTTAAAAGCATCGTTAAACTTTAACAGAGAAATACTCTTATAGAGAGATCTAACACCACTATAGAGGTTATTTTAGGAAGATCTGTCAAGGGGGTGACATAAGAGTTGTGTAGGAAGACGAAAATGTTCTGAACACGATGCTGTAGAAGGAGAGAATATTCATAGGAAATTGCAAAGACATGACCTTGTTATGATGCTGGTCGCAAAGTTGAACTCATAATGTTTGAAATCAGCAGTGATAACCATAATCACATTTAATCGTTGTATAAACCAATTTAGCAAACAGCCTTCGGATCACGTGGCTGTTTGTTCAAAAATTTCAAATTTGTCCGAAATTCAAACTGAAATATTTCTAAGTATATCAAGTTAATTGCACGTTACACTGATGTATATTTGTTTAACTACGGTGGTAAATGTAAATTGCGAGAGAAAGTACAAAATATTTAGAATAAACAACACAATTTTTTCTAAATTAGCTGATGGACAGATGGAAAATACTCAAGAAAGAGCGTAAAACACACTTAGGGTGTATTTCCATTTTTAACCATTAGATCTTGGAGCCAAGGGTAGGAGCTGCAGCACCCCAAACGTTCCAAAACCCATGTCATTCATTGTTAATCCTGAGAACCAGGGAGGAAGGTTTTGGCATGAGTAATATTTAGACTGCATTGCATTACCCTGAACACCAGATCTCCAAAAAATTAACAAAAGCAAAAAATAACTAGAGCTGTTTGCCCCTTTAAATTTTTGCAGCTGTGGTACCTAGGGTAGCATTGAATCAGAAGCAATTTTGGCCAATACCATCATTTTGAATTTGATATTATTTGTTTTCTGACAGTCATTCTATGACGTCAGTCCACTGTGCAGCTGGTTTCTTCTTTTCGATTTTCCTTTCATTTCATTGTTTTGCAGACATGAGTGGCCTTCGAGCAGCCATAAACACTGTTTTTTTAAAAAACCAGTAGATTGTATTTCAGGCTTGTTGTTCTTAATTCTTCCAAAATTTTGAGGATAAAAAGTTTTTAATTTTTTCTTAAATGTTTAGGGTGTAAGCAGTGCAGTCGTTAGCTAATGTGCTAAAAGGGAATGCTCAGGCCCCACTTGCAAAAAAATCCTTAATATGCAAATATGCAAGCAAGATTAATCTGCAGGCACAATTCTTAAATTCACCAAAGAAGCACCCCTAAATGGCCAAAACACCTAATTTTTAAGGTGGAATTTTTTAAGGGCGTCAAAAATTACACTTTTTCAGTACCTCAGCCTGTTCTTGGGTTGTCCTTAAATTCTGATCAATTTTGAAGCTCGTGTTCTATTAAAATTTTTTCCAATAAGAGTGTAAGTTGAGAGTATAAACTGTGTTATTGGCGTGATGTGTACAATCAAGATAGGAGTATCAATTGTTTTCTGATCTTTTGGAATTATTCCTAGCCCTAGTACCCAGAATAAATGTGACTGTTTCCTGGCTTCCTTGCAATTTTGTAAAGGCAGGGGGAGGGGTGCAAAACGTCTATTTCCCCAACCCTGCCAGAATTTTCCAGTCTGCGCTTAGAGAGTCCTGTGCTTATAAAAAGACTATATCAATGTATAAATGAATTTTAGCTAATGGTTTGAATTTGGAGGGTTTGGTAGAGCAGCTGCCCCTTGATCGTGTGAACTGGAAAGTTTATCCCTTAAACTGTATACCTAAATTTTGGAAATGCATAAAAATAGGCCACCAAACAAAGTGACTTAAAAACTCCCGGTTTTTATCAGGGGTGATACCTGCTTTGGCTATTTATTCTAAAATAGAATGCCTGGTTTGATTTGGAAATAAAATGACAGCTGTCAGTTTTGTTTGCAAGTCTAGCACAAAAAGCAACTTTGTATTTGCTAAATAAAAGTTAGAGTTGCCTAACCAGCTGATTTTGATGGCCTTGAAATAATGAACAGTTGAGAAAAGAACAACAGACAACGAATGACAATTTAACAATAGGCAATATGGAGTTCAGCCTCGGAGGCGTGAAATTTGCGGTCATATACTAAAAAGTAGAGAATCTTAATGAATTCCACTCAGTTCCAGTTTTAGCGATTTCAGCAACGGCAAAGAATGAAAGCTGAAATTTTCATTTCAGTCCGTTTTCGGTGAAACTAACGCTAGCTAATGAAAAATCAATTTGATTTGTTGGAAGACTTTTGAGAAACTTTTTACCGCACCCGAATTTCATCTCTTAATATTCGCCTCTTTCTTATATAGTAGCCCGCGAGTTACTCAGTGATGGGATATTCTATGTGATTCTGAAATGCAAGTTTATTGACAGGGTCATCTCTACTAGGGGTGTGGGGGTGTGACATCCCCTTGGAAAAATGTTTCATTGTGGAAACGAGAAGATTTTTGCCATGTAGGGGTGCCTCAACGGCAAATCATCAGATTTTTCGGCAAATAAAGAATGGCTTACCCACTTTGTTGGCAAGTAGGATCTGAGCAACCCCTTTGAGCACAATAGCTAGCCATGGCCTTGTTTATACTTGGCATGTTTTCCAAAAATGGACTTTAAAGAGACATTACTTGGTAGCTCCGAATTGTTATCAAAATTTTCAAATTCTTATGTGCTAGAGAAAGAATGCTGGTATTTTTCGAATTAAATTTTGATTTCTTTTCTTTTCTGAAAAGGACATAAGCACATGCTATCTTTTGGCTGCCTTTATTGAGCAAAATGGGAACATAGCTTATTGAAATTATACAATTTATTGTTTTGAATTATTGACAAGACTTGAAAAATTTTTCGTTGCAGGAAATTTTTATTTCTTAAAAAAACCTTATTTCTTAAATTCTTTATAAAAAGATATGTAGTTTGTCGGTGATCCTTATGGCCTATGACGCCTCTCTCTCTCGCTGGATAAATATGTGCACGTAACTTCCCTTGCTTGTCTTCCATCATCCTCCTTCTTGAACGAAATTCGTTCACGTGAATGCAGTCGTATTTAAAGCCTTGTTTCTTCTTGAAGCTGTGCACGGGATTTAATTTCGAGGTCAGCAAATTTCATTGAAGAGAACAGAGTATCGAGTTCACTCAATGAGCCTTGGAGGATTTTAGAGGATAGTAGAGTTAAACTACCGGGGGGTGCTGTCGGATTTTGCTGTATAATACCGCAGAAGTGAACATCCTGGCAGATTTACTTCAATAACTTCGTGATCCAAGGCACATCGTACTATGCGAATGCAAATGTGTCTTATGTTTTAAACTGTCCTGTATTTGAGAAAATCAATTTTGTTTTAATGCTGGTCATAACAAAACCCGATGCAAAGAAGGAAATTTTCATGCTAAATGACTATTTAGCTTAAAATGTTAATGATTATATGTTAATGATCTTGTAGCTAAATTCGATTGCCAATAATAAAGTTAACGATACAAATGTAATATAGATTTCATTGATATAGTTAAACTCGATTTTCAGATTTGAAGAACCAGTCCACTAGAAGTTCTGGTACGCGATATTATTAAGATTGGGGGCATGGGCAATAGATAGGAAAATTCATAGAAGGGGCAAGAAATGTAGAATAATCTGACAAAGATCTATAAGCTACTAACTCTCTATATTTGGATATAACACCACTACATTAGAACAGAAAACAACAAAAGATAAACTTTTATCAATAATTCAAATTCATGTGTCAAAACAAATGCCTCTTAAAATTTTTAATGATTTTTTACTTAAAAAAGACATTTTCTTAATAACCACACCTTATTGAAAAAGATTGCCCATCTGATTCAAAAAATTTGAAGAAATGGTTATGTTCAAATCTTTACTATCAAAATGCAACACTTAGATAAAAGATAGACAACCATGTTTTTCGACGAAATAAAAGTTTAGCTTTACGGGTCGGTCTTTCACCCTCTCTGACCTCTCTATCTATGCCACTGGGCATGGGGGAATAACAGCGGTCTAGGAGGCAGTGCTTCCACTTGGAAGGAAATTTCCTTCCAAAAGGGAATTTCAGCTTTTGGAAGGAAAAAAGAAGAAAAAGAAATTGTAAGGAAAATACTCTAGTGTCTCTAATAGAAGGGGGAGGTATAGAAGGGGGGTGTTCATTCCGGCCAATGTTCAATAGAAGGGGGTGCTAATAGAAGGGGGGTGTTCATCTCGACCAGTTTTCAATAGAAGAGGGTTGCTCATAGAAGAGGGTGTTCAGGTTGGCCTATTTTCAATAAAATTTCAGCAAAGTTCAATAGCAAAGGGGAGCTAATAGAAGAAGTGGATGTTGGTAAATCTTTTTATTAAAAGGCACTGGAAATAGTAGGATGGTGACACTGGCTACTTGATAATGGATAGATGGTTAGAGATAAAGATAGACAAACTTAACAGGGGGAATTGTGACAATGAAAAAATAACTACATAACATAACAAGGGGAATTATTGACAAGTGAAAATGGCGTGTTCTGGTCATGACGGATTTGTAAAATCTTATAGAAAGCGGAGGGGGGGATGCTAATAAGCGACGGGGAGAGGGCGAATTCTTCTGAAATTAATACACAAGGGGCCGTCTATTAGAGACACTAGAGTAGAAGGAAATTTGAAGGGAAAAATGAAAATATGAGAGAAGTTCTTTGTAATCAGTAAAGATTTGTTGTCACTGATTTAAAAAATGAAAGCAAATGTAACGGATGAAGA